GTGCAGCAGGAGCCGGGAGATGCCCAGGTGGGTGGGAAGGGGAGGCAGAAGGGGAACCACCGGCTGGTGGGAACAGAGGGGAGGGGGTGGAGGAGAACCCAGAGCTGCCAGTGCCCCATAAAAGGCCAATTTTCTCTCAGGATCAAGCCTTTCCCCGTTCGCTGCCAAGGGCTGCGCCTCGGCGTCTGCGCAGGACATTGAATCCGGAACCTTCCTGACAGCCGGGAACTCCAGATACCTCTTTGGTCAGGCGACCCGGCCAGCGGCACCAGCCCGGCTCCGGGGCAAGTCCCCTTCGCCCTCTGCCTGCCCGGCCTGACGGGGCTGCTGGTCTTGAAGCTGCTCTCCTGACCCCCCGCCCTGCCCGGGCCCCGTGGCTCCCGATTTGCATTTATCGAGTTTCTTAGGGGATTAGAACTAGTGACCCAGGGTCATTTCTGTGCATTTCAATGCAGTAAGCCAGCGGCACCAGCCCGGCTCCGGGGCAAGTCCCCTTCGCCCTCTGCCTGCCCGGCCTGACGGGGCTGCTGGTCTTGAAGCTGCTCTCCTGACCCCCCGCCCTGCCCGGGCCCCGTGGCTCCCGATTTGCATTTATCGAGTTTCTTAGGGGATTAGAACTAGTGACCCAGGGTCATTTCTGTGCATTTCAATGCAGTAACTCATTTTGATCTGCCTCGTCTCACTTGCAGCCACGTCAAGCCTACTTCTTACGCCTAATAAAAGTCCGTTTGTTTATTATCAAGACCAGTGTAAATAAGTGTTGCCGGGGAGGTGAGCACCAGTGTGCATCTCTCTCCGTGACTGACAACGGCTTTCTCCATGTGCCCCTTTTACCCAGGGTGAGAGGGATTTATCTGGGGTTGGGGCCCTTCTGGGGGTTGGTTTCCCAACCCAGGGTGAGAGGGATTTATCTGGGGCTGGGGCCCTTCCTGGGGTTGGTTTCCTGGGTGCTGAGCCCTCCCGGAGCTGAGCGGAGTCAGGGTCCGTGCTGCTCAGCAGAGGGTGGGGACCCGAACTCTGTGCTTTGCCTGGCAGATCCCAGAGAAGCTGGTGGGGAGCCCCAGAGGGCAGGCAGGTGGGGGTCAGTGGCGTGATCAGAACAGCTGGGGACAGCTCCAAAGGGACGTCTATGATCCAGCCCGTCACACCCCTTCCCATTGCTAGAGGGTCCCAGAACGGGGGCTGAGCCTCCCCTCCCAGCAGCGACAAGGTGAAATGACCCTTCCCAGGAGCAGTGGGGGCTCCCCTGGGTCACTCTGCCCCCCGCAGCAGCGGGAAGGCCTGTGCCTGCACCTGGGCTCCTCTCCCACTGGGAGGCGGCACAGAGCCGTGCCTGGATCCAGCAGCTGCCGGGACCTTCCATGGGCCTGGAACCCAGTGGTGGGAGGGAGCCTGGCACAGAGGCGGGATGGGAGGGGGAAGGGCCTGGGCCTGCGCAGTGGCAGATAGGGCCTGGCAGCGCACTAAGGCAGACCCAGAGGCTCCCCCGGCTCCTTGCAGCCTCCTCTGTGGGGTCTGCAGGGCCGAGGAGAGGGAAGGGCAGCTGCACTGTGGCCACTAGGGCTGCCAGGTGCCTGGTATTGAACCGGACAGTCCGCTATTGTCACCTCCTGTCCAGTAAACAAATTCAGAAAATACCGGACACCAAACATGTCTGGTACTTTCTGATTTTTCCCGGCCAGGAGGTGAAAATCCCGGGCTGTCTGGCTCAGTACGGAGGCAGCCTGGCCACCCTAGTGCTTACCAGGTTCTGGCCTGGTGCAGGGAGGCAAAACACATCGCTACTTGGCTTTTAAAGGGGCCACGGTGGTTTTCTTTTTTTTTTGCTCAATAAATCTCAGGCTCCTTTTTTTCCTCAACAAACTTTTTCCTGGTGTGTTTTTTTGTCGGTGGTGTTGGGTATTTTTTCTGAAACCACCCAGCCACCCTAGTGGCTGCTCTCGGGCTCATGGCCAGGTGCCCTGGCTCAGCCGGTGCCCAGGGACTAGGGGGCTCCTTTGCTGGCCTGTCTCCCTTTCCCAAACATTGGCCCATGGGGCGATCAGGGGCTGGCCAGCAGGGAGCTGTGCCACCAAACGTTCTCCCTTTCGGCCTGCATGGGGCACCAGCCACCCCCCAACAAGCTCCTACGCCCTCACCGGGCCAGCCTTACCATGAGGTAAACTGAGGCAAGCAGGGTGGGGGGGGGGCGCACCACTCGGCCCCAGAGTGTAGAAAATTGTGTCTGCTGCTGGTGCGTATGTAGGTAGAAGAGCAGTCCCAGGAGAGGAGAACAGGAAGGAGGCAGGATTGGGACCTTTCAAAGTTTTGGTCCAAGTGAGGCATCATTTGAGCTCCCTGCCTCAGGTGCCAAAATGTCGTGGCCCTGCCCTGCGCCCTCCTACCGATTACGCGGCAGCTACCTAGACGAGGTAATAATCCATACCCCTGACTGGGAGACTCCCCTAGAAAAGGCGGAAGCTGTGCTAGATTCCTTAAGGCAGGCCCGCCTTACGGTGAACCCAGCCAAGTGTGCAATAGGACTTGCCGAGGCCAAATGCCTCAGCTATTTCATAGGAAAAGGTGTCGTAAAATCCCAGGTGAACAATGGGGGTGTCTGCCCAACATCCAGAGACCCCAGATTAGCACCCAAGCTGCCTGTGGGAAATATCTAAGCCTGAACAGGGGGGAGGATCAGGCCCGAGTTGGAACACTTCACGGTTTGTGAGAAAAAATGAGAACTACAGCAGAAGTTGCACGGAACAAGTTTCTAAGGGTATTAAACTTAACTGGTGCATTTCATTTAATTTCCTTTAGTAACTAACTTTGATCTGTCTGTTATCTCTTACCACCACTTCTATCCTGTCTGGTCCTTGCAAAATGAATTAAGCTCGCCCCGGGGATGTGTGTCCAGCCTTCCCCAGCGTCTCCTGGCTGGAGTGAGCCGCCTGCGTGCTGCTAACGCCAATTGTGTCCGTGCGCCCAGGGAGCCAGGCACACGCCAGCTGCCTGCGGGCGGGCCCCACGTGGGCAGCCTGAGCACGACACCACAGCCAGGGTTTTTCGGGAGGGTTCCCATTTATTCAGAGGATTCGCTCCAGCCCAGAGAGACCCCAGCCCGCGGGGAGGTTCCGGGACAGACGCCCGCCAGACGCTGGGCAGCGGCCTGCCCCGTCTTGTGGGGGCAGCTGACATTTCGGGCTTGATTTACAAGCTACAGGCGTGGCGGGGCCCAGCCAGGATGGGGGGTCAGGAGAGCAGCTTCACCAGCAGCAGCCCCATAAGGGCGGGCAGGTAGAGGGCAAAGGGGACTTTCCCCAGAGCCGGGCTGCCTCCCTTGGTGGTGCTTGTAACTACAGAGTGCATGGTGTTTTTCGTGGTGTCTGTGGCTGGATGGATGGTTTTTTTGTCAGGCGTAGTGGTGTTTGTGGCTGGATGGGTGGTTTTTTTGTCAGGCGTAGTGGTGTTTGTGGCTGGATGGGTGGTTTTTTTGTCAGGCGTAGTGGTGTTTGTGGCTGGATGGGTGGTTTTTTTGTCAGGCGTAGTGGTGTTTGTGGCTGGATGGGTGGTTTTTTTGTCAGGCGTAGTGGTGTTTGTGGCTGGATGGGTGGTTTTTTTGTCAGGCGTAGTGGTGTTTGTGGCTGGATGGGTGGTTTTTTTGTCAGGCGTAGTGGTGTTTGTGGCTGGATGGGTGGTTTTTTTGTCAGGCGTAGTGGTGTTTGTGGCTGGATGGGTGGTTTTTTTGTCAGGCGTAGTGGTGTTTGTGGCTGGATGGGTGGTTTTTTTGTCAGGCGTAGTGGTGTTTGTGGCTGGATGGGTGGTTTTTTTGTCAGGCGTAGTGGTGTTTGTGGCTGGATGGGTGGTTTTTGTGGCAGGACTGGTGGTGTTTGCAGGGGGAGGGATGGTGGTTGTAGAGGGAAGAGGTGTCGTGGTGACTGTAGATGGGATGCTGGGACTGGTGGGTATTGGTTTTGCTGGACCAGAGCTTCCCCAATAAAACTGAAAGGTGTAGGCTGCCACAGTCAGGTTGCGTCTGGGTTTAATCTCCTGTGAAGACGCCGACGCGCAGCCCTGTGCTTGAAATGGGGAACGAGATGCACCTGTTGGGGAAATCAGCCAGTTCTTAGGGGCGAGTCGCTCCGGCTCCTTCTCTGCCCCCCCCCATCCCCACCAGCAGTTCCCCCTCTGCCTCCGCTTCCCACCCACCTGGGCATCTCCCTGCTCTGGCTGCACCCGGCCATGGCAGGGCCAGCGCCCTGCCCCGCCGTTCGCCCCCCGCGCC